ATCTTGGTCTAAATGGATAATGGAACCAATATTTTTTAAGTTTATGTTTAAAAGTAGTCAAGATTATGAAGACTTGTAGGGTAAAGGGTGGATGTTCATACCCACTAACCTACGCCAAGAGACATAAGTCAAAACCCAAAAAAAGAGGAGATCTGTATACCCAACCACCCATATGGTATTTGTGCTCTATTATCAATGGGTGACATTAAAATAATGATAGACGAACCAACAAAGAAAGAAAAATTAAACACATGTAAAATCTTCAAATGGATAGAACCCTAAACTTTAAACAATTCTTTTTATAGCCACCATAGACTTTATGTGCTTTCTCCTTCACCTAAAATATATATTTTGCTCAAACTGGGTAAATACTTTTTGTTGTTGCTTAAGTAAAATATAACCCAGGCTTACCTACCTCATGTACATTTTTAAATATATGGATCAACTTACCTTCGGTATCCGATCCCTCTGACGTTTTCCTACGACATAATCACGTTTCCTACTTCTTTTAACATGTTTTGTCCTCACTCACATGTATTTCAAGAAAATTCTTAAAAAGTCCCCCAACATACCATTGTTCTAAGTAAAACACACTTAATAATGAAATTTTTATGACCGAACTACTAAAAAACAGAAGAGCCACCTTTCAATTTTTTAAAGTCCTTTTTAGTCATTAAGATCGCTCTCATTCGAATATGATTTAATTCATTCATGGACTCCTCCTTTACTCGAACACTTCTTAAGAAAGAAGGGGGAGATCGATTAATTTCATAAATTCTTTTTATACGCTCAAGTTTATCTTTTGAATAAATTATAATGTTAAATGTTGCACGAAATCAAAATTTAGATTCATAAAGAAAGGAATATTTTAGCTATATTTAATAATATGATTATATTATAAGATTTCACTTTTGAAAAGTTGGTTTTAGAAATCTTGGCAAAATTTACTTTTTTGTAATTTTTAATTTTTTTAATTTTTAAAAGACATTTGCAAAAGGCAAGTATATATATAAGAAAAGAATGTGGGGGGAAGCGCAGCCTAGCTATAATTATGAACCAAATAGACTATTTAATCAGATTATTACCAATATTATGTCGAGCATTTCCTTTTAAATATATAATTATTTTACTTTAAGAAAAGAAAAAGAAGCCGGTTTTTTCATCATGAACAGAGCGCCAAGACAATGTAGAAAATAAAAAAACCGGGCCATTCATGGAACAGGTTACAGGTCGGTGAGAATATTATGAATAAAATATTATTATTGGAAAGCTGGAGGAAGTCCAGTCGTGGCCCCTCCAATGCCACATGGCAACACCATATTAATCTCCCTACTTTCAGAAAGGACACGTAAACGTAGAGATGACGAGATGGCTGATGTACATTGCCTATGTGGTGGAGTAAAAGTTGAATAAGCAAAAACTTGGTTTTCCCTTTTTTTCTATTTTCTAATTATAAATTTGGTGTTAAAATTTATATCCTTAATTAAAAGCTTATGATTTTGCTAAAGTAGTGTGTTCAATAACAAGCAATTAATCATAGAGTAAAACAACGTTTTAGTATTGTTTATAAACATTTTAAAGAATTTAATGAAGAAAATTTTTAAAACCATCACACTAAACTTAAAAATTTATAAATTTTGTTGTATCTTTTTCCTTTTTGTTGTGCCACTTCTGATGGTTGGTTACATGTGTAAGCTCCATATTCAGCTGACCCATCTCCATTTACTGCAGCTAACCACACCAGAGCATTGCCATGGTAGCTCCTCTGTCTTTTTCATTGCAAAAATGGTGGACCCCAGAATCTTCATCCTTCTTCTTCTGATTGATCTCCCATTTCATGCGTGTGCATTTTGTAGTATATATTAAGAGTATTCCAACGTGAGGGCTTAGATAGAATAAACCCAACCACAAATACAATCACAAACAGGGAGGTTCAGATAAAGGTGAATAAGCCTTGTGGGGCTTTTGGGTCCTTCAAAACAACACCAAAGCAGCGGCCTGACGCCTATTGGTGCTTTCAGGTTCATCCCCGCCAATTGTTAGAGAAAAGGTTGAAAAATATGGGGAGGCAACCTTGCTGTGACAAACTTGGAGTTAAAAAAGGCCCTTGGACTGCTGACGAAGACAACAAACTCATCAACTTTATACTCACTAATGGGCAGTGCTGTTGGCGGGCCGTCCCTAAGCTCGCTGGCCTCCGCCGTTGTGGCAAAAGCTGCCGCCTTCGTTGGACCAATTATCTCCGCCCTGATCTTAAGCGAGGCCTTCTCTCTGAAGCTGAAGAGCAATTGGTGATTGATCTTCATGCTCGTCTGGGAAACAGGTTGGTGTTGTTGTTATTATTATTATTATTTTATCATTTTTGGGACTTGGGTCATCGGAATTCAGTAAAATTTAAGAAAAGTTCTGATTTTTTGGGTACCCTTTTGGTGATTTTAGCTTCAAAGCTCCTTCTCAACCACCTTCATTTCTTGAATCTTAAGCTGAGAAGTTCATTTACGCATTTTGAAGTAATGTGTAGGAAAGAAGACAAACTTAACGTCTGTTTGTATTCTAAATTTGTATCTTAACTATACATTCAATGTCTTGTTTCATATTTTTCTGTCGCTTTCTACCTCTCTCTTTGCTTTTTGTCAAATCCCGGCGTGATTTAAGATGACTTTCGAACCCCTTTATAAGAAACTACCTATGAATAAACTCTAGTGTCTTTCCTTTTAACTTTTCAAAAAATTTCCTTTCTAACTTTTCATATTTCTTATTTATAATTATAAACGTGGGACTTTTTCCCGACGATTTAATATTCAATCTAAAAAAATTTATAATTTTAATCATTGATGTTTAGATGGTCGAAGATTGCGGCGAGATTGCCAGGAAGAACGGATAATGAGATAAAGAATCATTGGAACACACACATAAAGAAGAAGCTCATCAAAATGGGGATGGATCCAGTAACACACGAACCCCTCCAAAAACAGCCAGAGAATCAGAAAAACGAGTGCCACAACCCCAACAACAACAAGAAGACCAAAAAAACGGCGGAAAGCTCCGCCGGAAACCACCATTGCAAGGAGGAAAACGAGAGCGTTATGGATAACTCAAGCTCCCCGACGAAGACGGAGAACAGCAGCTCCGTGAACACAGACGAGTCGCTTCTTCTAGACAACCTCATAAACACCAGTTTCTGGATTGAAGAAGAAGCTCTTTGGAACAACAACAACAACCTAGGTGGACATGGATATGGAGGCAATTTTTCATGGGAAGAGAATTGGTCTTGGCTGCATGAGTGTGAGGATTTTGGTATCCATGATTTCGGTTTTGACTGTTTGGATGATTTTGAATTAAACGCCATCAACACAACAGAAACGGAAGGAAAACACTAGAAAATAAAAGAAAAGAACATAAACAAAACATCATAAGGAAGATTAAATTTCTTGTTTTTTGTTTTTTGTTTTTTTGTTTTTTTTTTAAAGAAGTATTTAATGTGGACATGTTACGAAGTACCATGTACATGAAGTGTTTATTGTTGGGTAATTTAGTAAAGGAGGTTAATATGTACAAATTTCAAAACAAAAGAGTAGAGTGACATCAAAACATGTCCCTTTTAACATCAACAACCATTGTTGTAAGTTTGTGTAATCTTTGTAGAAAGAGAGGTGCGTATTTGTCTATATTACCATCCTTTCATATTAAACTCCGTCAATAACAAATCACTCGAGCTCCCGAACCAAAACACCTAACAAAGTAATCTCTTATCGAGTAGTTACCCTAGCAATATATATAATTTAAATTTCTTCCCTCTTTTCCATATTCTAATATTTTCTTAACCTACCAAAAAAGGACCATAATTAAACTTATTTTTTATTTCTTGCATGATTAACATGTACAAATATGGCTAATTGTTTAAGACCACATTGGATTTTCTTACATTTACCGGACAACATTACAATTAAAAAAGATCATATTTTTATTTATAAAGAAGCATGGGTAAAGATTTTTGAATTGGTCTCTCTCTCTCATCGTAACTCGAATAGTGACCTAAAAAAACACAATGATTAGCCAGAGGAATGAAATTAATAATTGCTAAACCTTTTTTTAGTTTTAATTGAATTCTTTTAAAATATGTCATGGCTCAACGTCTAGTGATCGAGTCAAGGGTCAAATTGACCGAATTTAATTGCTTTTTTTTAAAAAGTAGCGAAACCCAATTTATATAATCTAGGTTAGAAGAGTGAATCTTTTCTTGAAAGATCAGATCCAATTAGATGCTCCAAATCTAACATCTAAATGGGGTTGGGCCTTGCCTAAGTGGTCACCAAGATATATGGCTATTAGTTGTAATAAAAAGTAAAAAAAAAAAAAAAATTCTGAATTATTAACGTTTTGGAAATATGAATTTCTAACTATTTGATTAATGGTATCACAAATTTAAATTTATTACATTTAATTAATGCTAGTGTTATAGGTTACACTGACTAATTTTAAATGGGACAAATGAATGGAAATTGAAAAATTAAAATAATTCCTTTAGATATGTTAATTATGAACTCTCACATAAATCTTATAATTAGCCATTATTTTATTCACGAATTTTTAAATATAGAATAAAGTAGAATATGCGATTGAAGCCTTCTTGAATTATTTAGACAAGACATTATTTATTATTATTATTAAAAAATCAAATCCTCATCACTCCAATCGAGACAGCTTTTGGAATTATATTCATTATCCACTTTATTCCCATTATTGTCTCCCTTAATGATGTTAATTTAGGTTGGTGTTGGTGTTGGAGGATTATGTACATAATTAAAATGTTATAAGTTTAGGTTTTCATGTCGACATGTTGTAAATTTAAAGAAAATGGTAACATTAAAAATAGCAAAAAATGATTTTATTAAAATAGTATAGTCTTCAATCCCATCAACATGATTTTTAATAATTAAAATTGAAATATTACAAATAATTATTATAATATAATTAGTTAATTGGTTAATTATTGGAGTAGAGATGGAATTAGAGACTTGAGAGGGCGATATGGAAATATAATCGTCTACTCCTCCTCCTCTCTCTCTCTATTCCTGATTCCACCATGGAACCCACTGTCAATTTCCTTCAATCTCTCAATTCCTTGTTTCCATCGCATTCTGTTCAAAATCACCCCTTGATTTTCACTCTCCTTGCCGGTTTTCTCGTTCTTTTGTTTTTCAGATGCCGGCGCCGGCGCTTGCAGCTGCCACCGGGACCCCCCGGCGTTCCTCTGCTCGGAAATCTACTGTTTCTAGATCCACAGCTTCACACTTACTTCACCGAATTGGCCCGGAAATACGGTCCAATTGTAAAGCTCCAACTCGGTACAAAGATTGGTATAATCTTCAACTCACACTCTGTCGCACGTGAGGTGTTGAAGGACCACGATATCGCCTTCGCCAACCACGACGTTCCTCGGGCAGCCAGAGCCGCTACATACGGCGGTTACGACATAGTTTGGAGTCCATACGGACCCGAGTGGCGGATGTTGAGAAAAATTTGTACGATGAAGATGCTCAGTAACGCTAGTTTGGACTCTGTCTACGAGCTCCGCCGTAGAGAGGTCAGAAACACCGTTGCTCACCTATACCGGCGAGCCGGGTCGGCGGTGAACATAGGAGAGCAGGGGTTTTTGACGGTTTTCAACATCGTGACGAGCATGTTGTGGGGTGGGTCGGTGGACGGGGACGAAAGGGACGGGATTGCGGCTGAGTTCAGAGAGCTAATTTCGGACATAACTTTGCTGTTGGGTAAGCCTAATGTGTCGGACTTTTTCCCGAGCTTGGCTCGTTTCGATCTCCAAGGCATCGAGAAACAAATGCTTAAGCTCGCACCAAAATTGGACAACATCTTCGAAAAGATGATCAATCAACGACTGAGAATGGCCGATGGGGACGAGAATCAGGACAAAAACGATTTCTTGCAATTCTTACTTCAGATCAAAGACGAAGGCGATTCCAAGACGCCTCTCACCATGGTTCAAATCAAAGGCGTGCTCATGGTAATTATTTTCTTGATTTTGAGGGGAAAAGAACAATTTCAAAGAACAATTTATTTAATGAAATTGAATTTGCGGACAGGACATGGTGGTAGGTGGAACAGACACATCCTCAAACACCATTGAGTTTGCGATGGCAGAGATGATGAAGAACCCAAATGTTCTAAAGAAAGTGCAAGAAGAATTAGCCGTCGTGATCGGAGACGAGAACATCGTAGAAGAGTCCCATATTGAGAGTCTGCCATATCTGAAAGCCGTAGTGAAAGAAACGTTGCGTCTGCATCCAGTGTTGCCGCTGCTAGTGCCGCACTGTCCGAGCGAAACCACCGTGATATGTAATTACACAATCCCAAAGGGGTGTCGGGTGTTCATCAACGCGTGGGCCATTCAGCGAGACCCCAATCAATGGAGAAACCCATTGGAGTTTGAGCCGGAGAGATTCTTGAATGATAAGATGGATTTCAACGGGAGTGATTTCCGATTCATTCCATTTGGATCAGGGAGAAGAAACTGCGCAGGGACAGGGTTGGCGGAAAGAATGATTATGTATTTGCTTGCCACGTTTTTGCACTCGTTTGATTGGAAATTGAAAGAGGGTGAGGAATTGAAGACCGACGAGAAATTTGGGATTGTTTTGAAGATGAAGACTCCTCTGGTTGCCATCTGCACTCCCAGGCTCTCCCACCCCACTCTGTATCGGTAACTAAGTGGTTTGGTCTTATTTTATTATTATACTAATAAAATAATGTAATTGAATCTCTGTTGGAGTGCCTTCAAATAATATCGGTTTCAAATAATTTTTTATTTCTTATTTTAATCCGTTTATTTATTATGGCCACACAGAATATTGCAGCCAACCGACACGTTTCTTAAAATTTATTAAACAAAAATCCAACCTAATATCCCTTTTTGTTCATAACGTAAATGAATTATAGTTAAAATTAATTGCTACTTCTTACATAACTTAAAATGATTTTTTTTTTCACAAATAGAGATTAAAATATGATAAATTCTTTTCAGTTTACAAAGTGTCAAGGTTTGAAATTCGAACCTTAAATTAGATTTTTATTATATATTTCCTTAATTTATTGTTTATATTTTACTTAGCAAAATTTTGAAAAATAAGAAATCTTAGTTTTTTTTTGGGTGCCCTTTGGAATTGTAAAGCCCGAAATGGCGACCTCTGATTCGGCTTTACGAGGAAGAAGTAGCGCAGACTGCAGGCGCAAGGTCTCCTTGATGACCGCCTGTAAATAGGGGAGCTTGTTGATGTGCGATTCTTCAACTGGATTTCCTTTCCCAATCACTCGCAAGAGTTCTTCTTTGAGTTTCAACATAGTTTCTGGGTTCTTCAAAAGATGTGCCATTGCCCATTGCACGATTGATGTAGTCGTCTCTGTTCCTCCCGTAAATAACACCTACAACCATTTCCAATTCCAACTCAAATATTATTTATGCATCCAATGAAATAGAAACAGAGTATTGAGTGTTTGATTTGGTGGCAGCAAAAGTAATTTCAGTTCATTCAATTCAACGGAGGATACAAATAAGTGAAATGCAGAAATGTTTCCCATTGTGGCGTAGAAAGGCCCATCAAATAATGTGAAGCCCATAATTGGGCACAAGTTTTTAGCCCAAAATTCATATGAAATTTCAATAATCAAATATTGGTATCTGTCTGTGGAACAACCCCACCACCGCCGTGGAGCCTTTTCCTTCCCAACACAAATCCCAATCAGCCAGCCACCGTATGGAATAGTATTCCCTACTTTCCATTTTAATGATAAATAGATACAAATGTAAGAAATATGGTTGCAATTCAATTCAATTCAATTAACAAAAAAGAAGAAGAAAAGGGTAAAGTAGAGGCCAGAGGGATTATTTTGACTACAAATACACGCCTGTCTCACCGACACTCTAATTCCTCCAAATCAATCTCCACCCTCCGATTACTTCCGTACCATCTTCCCTCTTATCTTCTTCCCATCCCCATTGCCATCACTCACTCACTCACTAACTCGCTCTACTGTGTCAACCCAAAATCGACACTCTCTTCCACTCTCTCTCTACAGCTTCCATAAGAGAGACAGATCCCAGAAGAAAAACTCCAAGTCGTAATGGGGGAGGCACCCACCTGGGCCACCCGCCGTTTGAGCAACCCAAATCCGACGTCGTCCGATCACATCCTCGACTTTCAAACCGCCGGTCATGCTGCCGTCCGATCCCCTGCCATTTCAACGGCCCTGATCGTCCTCTCTTGGTACCTCTCCAACATCGGCGTCCTTCTCCTTAACAAGTACCTCCTAAGCTTTTATGGCTTCCGTTTCCCCATCTTCCTCACCATGCTCCACATGCTCTCCTGTTCCTTCTACAGCTATCTCTCCATCCTCTTCCTCAAAATCGTACCCGCCCAACAGATCCAATCCCGAAGGCAATTCCTTAAAATCCTCGCACTCAGCGCCATTTTCTGTTTCTCCGTCGTCTGTGGCAACACCTCCCTCCGCTACCTCCCGGTCTCCTTCAACCAAGCGATTGGGGCAACCACGCCCTTTTTCACAGCCATTTTCGCGTTTTTGATCACTTGTAAGAGGGAGCCGGCGGGGGTTTATTTTGCGCTTTTGCCTGTGGTGTTTGGGATCGTTTTGGCGAGTAATAGCGAGCCCCTGTTTCACTTTTTTGGGTTTTTGGTCTGTGTGGGTTCGACGGCGGGTCGGGCTCTCAAATCGGTGGTGCAGGGGATTTTGTTGACTGCGGAAGGGGAGAAGCTTCACTCCATGAATCTGCTGCGGTTTATGGCGCCGATGGCGGCGGGGATTCTGCTTCCAGTTACGCTTTATGTGGAAGGGAATGTAGCGGCAATCACGGCGGAGAAAGCTCGGGAAGATCCTTGGATTTTGTTTCTGTTGGTTGGGAACGCAACGGTGGCGTATTTGGTGAACTTGACCAATTTTCTGGTGACGAAACATACAAGTGCTTTGACGTTGCAGGTGCTGGGAAATGCGAAGGCCGCCGTGGCAGCCGTCGTGTCGATTCTGATATTCAGGAATCCGGTGACGGTCATGGGAATGGCAGGATTTTCTGTGACGGTGATGGGCGTGGTGATTTACGGCGAGGCGAAGAAGAGATCCAAGATTACGACGCATTAAGGGGAAGATTTATTTTTCTTTTTTAATTTATAAAGTTAAAAAAAATTAATTGCTTTGATTCATTATATTATTAAATCATGTTTTTGGGTTTGGGTCTGTAATTTGATCGGAGAAAAAGGGATTATCTATAGAATTAAAATGGAATTGTATAAAGTGATTAATAGATATGAAGGATTTTCCAGAGAATTAGTTGAATTTGTTTGGGATCTTGTTTTGTCACCTTAAGACTTTAATTGATTGGAGCATAGAGAGAGAGAGAGAGAGAGAGTAAAGTTTTTGTGCTGTTTTTTACAGCTGTGTTGGAATATGGATAAGATGGTCACCCAATTGCATGCCCCATTCTTTTAATCTCATGTAGTTCTTTGGGATCTAAGGCTTTATTTTGTCGGTTCAGATCTATTTCTATTTCTGGGTATAATTTTCTTCATTATTTATTATATCTAAACATATTTTTTTCTTAAATACTACTTTTCCAACCAATAAATTATTCTGAATTTTATTTTTGGATAAAACAAACGTAAATCAAACATGGAATTATCGAACAGTCAATTGCAAAATAATAAAATAGATCAATCACGCTGAAATCCCCCCGTTAATTTCTAAGCCGTCATCAGACAAAGGATGCCAACCACCACGGCGACCAACCCTAATTTGCCGGAAACAACCGATCTCGGGGCTCCCGATGCCGGTGGTGGCGGCGGCGGCGGCGGAGGCGGAGGTGGTGGAGACGAGCTGGATCCGCCGGGAAGCGGGGAACTGGCCGGAGCCATTGCCATGACCGTAATGACGAGCTTCTGATTTTTTGCACAGTGGCCCTCTTTTCCACTGATGAACCATTTTCTTCCGGGCTGAGTCAGTAAAACGACGTCGTGTCCAGTGTTCGTTGCATTCTTGTCAGTTGGTATTGTGCAATTGTGGAATTGACCGCCGTTAACGTCATATACGTTGTCATCCTTCGCTTGGTATTTGAAAACTGAAAACAAGGGGAAAAAACAAATAATCCGACAACTATTTAATTGTTTCGGAAAAAGAAAAAAAATAATAATAATAAAATATTTGTTATTTTGATACAAAAATTAAGTTTATTAATATTCTTCTAATTCAAAACTCCGAAAATATTTGAAAAATGACTTACTAAGATTATCGCCGACGTAGAATGTTTTGTTCTGAGCCCAGTCGGTGTAATTGACACCAACCTTCCAACCAGCATCATCTCCGACGGTGTAATTGGTGGCCAAAGCGGAAGGGGCGAAAATGGCCGCAATGGAAAGGAAGACGAAGAGATGAGAGGTGGAGATCGCCATCGAAGAAGCTCGAATTTGTTGGTCTTTGAAATCGCTCGAGTGTGTAGTTGGGAGTATCTGGTTGTTGGGTTGGTGGGTATTTATAGATATGCTTGTTGAGTGCGGAGAATTGGAGAATAAATGGACGGCCGGCCATGGGCGGCCGGCCATGGGTGGCGGAAGGATACAAAAAGAAGAGGGCTTTTGACGGCTGGCCGTGGGCTGGCGGAAGGATACAAAAAGAAGAGGGCTTTTGACGGCTGGCCGTGGGCTGGCGGAAGGATACAAAAGCCAGCGCAATGCAAGTGCCTAGAAAATTGATTGTAGATGTTTACAAAGAGCACTATGAGAGCTTGTGTCTTACGATGCATTGTTTCATCAGAACGACCTCTCTATGAGTTTATAATATGCTTACAAACACCATTTTTTTATTTCATTTTTTTCATTGGTTTTAGATAATTTACTAATAAAACATATGTCTCATTTAAATTTTAAAACACTAAAAATAATTAATTTTGAAATTTTAGAGACATCAAATTTTAAGATTTTTTTAAGATATTAGGTTATTTTGAGAGTGATGTTTAGAGTACAAAATTTATCCAATGCAACAAATAAAATATGATCAATTAAGTTGGAGTATTTTGTATTATTGATTTTGAGCATTTTTCGTGGCCTAAATTCATAGTTAAATTTAAATATATTAGGTAGTACTTTATAGTGTTTTATTTGTCAAATTTGATATATATATATATATTTCATTAATTGCATAATAATTTTAAAAAACAAAAAATGCAGTGAAAAGCCCCTCTTCATGATGCAATATGCTCAATACCCACTCCTAAAAATATTATATTTTTAATTATTAGAAATTTAAATCTTCCATATAATATATATATAAAATTCAAAATTTGAATTAAAGTTATAAATATAATGCTTCGTCAATGTTGATAGTGTACCACGAAGGCATCGTGATTAAGGAAGAATTTGTGTTGTTCTAAAATCAAAATAATAGAATTATTTTAGTGTATTTACGAGATAAATATAGCCCGAAATATTTAAATTCCAATAACAATAAGCAGCAATGCAGCTGCAAGAGAAGTACAGGAGGCAGCTCCATTCATACAGTATAGAAAAACCAATCATAAAACAGCTTCCTAAAAGTTAAATACACAAACAAACTCAAAACTTCAATCCATGATTACGTCATTATTCCCGCCAGAGCGCCAACCGCCACTGCCAAAACCCCAAGGTGGCCGGAAATAGCGGCTTTCGAGGCAGACCCGGACGGCGGTGGAGCAGTGGGGCTCGGACTGGGAACAGGCGACAGCGATGGTGGGATGCTTTCGCTTGGAGTTGGAACCGGCAAGTGTGGGGTAGTTTGGTTATGACTAGGCGCAGACGCTGAAGGAGAAGGAGCGGAGGTTGACGGCGGCGGTGGAGAGGACGCCGGGGGAAGAGACGACGGCGGGGGAGAAGCCTGTCCGCCGTTGGACGGTGGGTTGTCTACGAAAATTACAAGCTTTTGTCCTGATTGACAGTGGCGGGCAATGCTGCATATGAACCATCTGGTTCCAGGACGTCTCAATGGAATGATATCGTTTCCAGTTTTCAGCGGGGATTGGTTTGTAGGTGCGGCGCACTCTGCGAACGCCGTTACGTTGACGTCCAATACGTTGTGCACCCCTTTCTTATACTTGAATACTGTAAAAAAAATCATATCTTTTAGGAAAAAAAAAAAGAAAAAGGAAACCTCAAAATTTGTCCCAATGAGATTTACATTTTGAAAAATAGATTAAAACACTATATTATTAATTAAAAAAGTTTATGGATAATATGTATGCTTCATTTCATTCACAACAACAATTGAATAAATATTATTTAAGGTTTTGAATTCAAAGGAAAATTTCACCTCAAGTTCTTATTCGTGCCGTTATTTATTTTGGTACACTTTGGATGAAAACAAGAAAAGATGAAGAGAATAATCCACCTAGATTATCTCCAACAAAAAACGTTTTGCCAATAGTCCAAGACGAGTAGTCGACTCCAAGGTCCCAACCCTGATCATCCCCCACGATATGATCGGTTCCTGCAACAACTGAAGAAGGGACCAAAAAGAAAGCAAGAAAGAGGAAGAGATGAGAGAAGTTGAGCATTTTGCAGCTACGGTGTTGGAGCGGCCAGCTGAGACCAGTTTAGTTATGAGGCTGCTTTTGCTTAGTGGGTATTTATATACACCATTTGTTGGGTCCATCCGGGCATGCCCTGACACAACAAGAAAAAGATAGATTGGCCAGCTAACAAGCGTGTTATCTTCACTGAACATGGTTATATGGTTAAAGGGTTCATATTCCATTTGAACGAGGTTTATATTTTAAGGTTTGTTTGTGACATCATATGTACGTCCATAAACTAAGAATTAAATATGCCAGCCATGCTCCAACTGGAGTGTACCTCTTGATTATCGATCCAAGCTTCAAATTTTTACTGTCTCATATGTAGTGTGGTATTAAGAAAAGACAAGAAAGAATTGAATATTTATGTTTGGGTTTTTGTTATTGTATTGGGAGATGGGCTTAGTTGGTGAGTACCCAAGGAAGAAGAGGTTCCGGTGAGCCCAAGTCAAAGTTAGTCCTCCAACCCTTTATCATAATCCATTTCCAAGCACACAAGGAACACAACAACAGCGGATAGGATGAGAAGACAGGTGCGTTTTAGAAATGGTTTAAGCAATTATGATGTTATTCTATGGAAACCTTAAAACATCCATAAGATGAAATGTGATTTGGAGGAGTGAATTAAAAAGTGCAATTAACATGAAGTGAATGGTAAGGGGATATGGGAAACGAAGTGGAAAGGCAATAATAGAAGAGAAGCAAAATGGTGTGGATGGGCATGAAAGAGAGAGAGAGAGAGAGAGAGAGAGAGAGGAAATGAGGGGCTTGGGTTTGATGGAGAGTTGAAACACATCTGTATTAGCTAACGAAGCTTGATCTGTTTCTTCTCTTGGCCTCAAACATCAACATCCAAATCCCTTTCCCTTCCCTACCTAAGCTTCACCATCTCCACACTTTCCTCTAACCTAATGCTTCTCTCTCCCTCTCTCTCTTTTTGTTCCTCCATCTTAAATTTTCATCCCCATGTGTTTCGTCAGTTTTGTAACAATTTGTTTTCTCCTATTATTCATTTTGTATCATACACTTATAATATGAAGATTTGAACATTCTTCAATTCCACTAAAAAGGATGTAAACTACAAAACTAAGATTAAAGAATGTGATAAGAAAGAGAAGAGAGGGCATTGTGTGGGGTTCAATAGTTAAAATTTGATTCACAATGTTTTTAAGGATCCCACCCGCCCATGTATTGCTCATAAATGAAGGCCCAATTAAATTCTCCTAAGATTGTGGTTGAGTTTGGCGCTCAATTTTTGTACCTTACCCACATCGGATTCATTCAATCTTTTTTTCTTCTTTTTAGTCACAAATTTCTTATTGTTATTGTAAAAATTGTCTTCCCGCCTGCCAACGTCGGTGAATACTCTAAAGTATTGCACCATCAATTTCCGTGTGTAAAAAATTCTCAATATAAACAGGCAATTAAAGAAATTTGGTTAAATTATTATTATTTTTTTTAAAAAAATAATATATAGTTTTGGAATATTTGGCTGGCTTGCCTTGCTTTAATTTGGCTGATTGGGCTCTTGAGGCTTCCACATGGGTATTAAATTAATACCCTTTTTTTATTACACATGAAAAATGGTACATAACTATATTAGGGAACATGTTCAATTCACATTTTCCTTTTTATTTATTTATTCATTATTAAAAAGGTATTACCTTTGATTTATAATATAAGTCTATTAGCATTAATTGGGTGAGTTTGCCAATTTGTTTATAATTCAGTATTTTTCAATAAAAAGAGCATTTAAAAACAAAAAGAAAATAATAGTTATCTTTTTTAGAGAGTGAAATAGTAAATCCAAAACTTAAATTCTGTACTAATTATAATATACCATTTTTAAACAACTATTTTTAGCAAAATGGGACAAATAATTAAAAAAAAAAAAAAAAAAAACATGGTTGAAAATAGAGGTAGCTTATGTTTATCTAAAATATAATAGAGCCAATTTCTTTCTCAATCAAAAAGAAATTTCACAAATTATAATATTATTCAAAGGGTATTATGGTAAAATCGGAAACCCTTCAAAAGAAACATTCTTGGAGCCATTAGAATCGCGCGGAAAATCCCAATGTAAACAATACATTATAAATTCTTTTATTTTTTTAAATTCTTTTCGAAAAAATAAGACTTCAAATAATTCAATTTTGTCGATTCTACTCTTCGAGTCTGCCGCCGGAATTTTGCGCGTCTGTCCGGTGAAAGAAACTCCTCGCCCCTCGCCGGCGGCAGATTCTCTTCCGGCTCCGGCCAATTGAAATGACTCTGCAATGACCCATACCCGATTCTTCCGGAACCGGAATTCCAAATCCAACAAAGAAGGAGAACCCACCACAAGCGACGGCGGAGGGACCGCCATGAGAGTTATAGTGCCTCTGCAGGGCATCGTTCAAGGAAGCGGCGGCGTCGTTTTGGGCTCTCTTATACCTTGCGTTCTCTTCTACTTTCTTCAGCTCTACTTGAAACGAAACCGGTCCGAGCCAACCGAGGACCCTCCATCTTCACCGGAGGTGGATTCTCCGGGGAATTCTTCGTCGCCGTCGAGTAATCAGTCCGTGGAGCTCTCTCCTCTGCCTCGAACATTGTCTCGGACCTTCCTCTCGTCCAGGTCGAACGGGCCGGTCTGCGTTTCGTGTCGGGCTAATTCGATTGCCAAAGTTGGGGAATCTTCTATTTTCGTTGGAATGAAAAAGTTCTTTGAGGACCCATTTGATGAATTGGACAATCCGACGGGGATTATTCAGCTTTCTATTGCTGAGAACAAGGTGGGTGGCTTTATGCTTTTTGTTCGTTCGAATGTGTGTCAGCAAGAATTTTCTGTTCTTTGTTTATCGGTTTCTGTGTTGACGAATGTGGATGTTTAATTAAACGATGAAGTTGTCGTCGGACTTGGTGCAAAATTGGCTAGAGGAGAATGGAAGGGATGCTATATTAGGAGGAGGGAATCATAATGAGCTGAGTGTAGCTGGGACTGTTAGCTACCAGCCTTCAGATGGATTGATGGATTTGAAACTGGTAATCAAATTTCCTTGTCTTCTCTCTGTAATTAATATTTTGGAATCAGTTGGGTTGCCACTTGCCTGTATGAAGAAGTTTGAACTGCTCTGTTTTTTGTTCTCTTGTACATGCTTGGATTTGTGTTCTCTGCTACAAAGTTTCCAAGTTGTTTCAATTGCCGATGACTTTATTTGATATGTACCTTCGCTCCTGTTAAAGCCTTCATCCTCTGTTTATCTACATACTTGATTGTTATTCTTAGCATGATCTATGAATATGGCTTTTGGAGACTTGAAAAACTCTGTTTTTGTTGTGTTTAGAGATTAAATTTAGTAAGGGTAATGCAAATTTTGTGAATGAAGTGGTGAGATCTCAATGAGTGAAGCACAGAGTTGACTACAAAGAGCATAATGGTCAACATGGTGTATTGTATGTTTGAACGCCATCATATGCTTGTGTGTTATCTTTGCATTTGATTGGTGTGCACCATATGAAGTTCCTTATAGTGATTGTACTTTTGTTCAAAAGATTTACCTTGTCAAGCATCCATCTCCTCTGATATTCCAATTCTCACAGGCTGTGGCAAGTTTCATGTCTCAAGCTGTAGGGAACTCTGTTTCGTTCATCCCATCACAATTAGTATTTACAAATGGAGTGAGCTCTGCAATCGAAACACTTAGCTTTTGCATAGCAGACGCGGGACATGCGTTTCTTGTTCCTACACCATATTACCCCGGGTACTTGTTCGTTCCTCTTTCATGAACTATGGTTTCTAAGAATATCAATTGAGATTCTGAATCACAAAATGCAGTCTTGACAATGATGTAAAATGGCGAACTGGGGTGGAGATAGTACCTGTTCCCTGTCGTAGTGCTGATAACTTCAGTTTAAGCATAACTTCTCTGGATCGAGCATTCCACCAGGCAAGGAGTCGTGGCCTTAAAGTTCGTGGAATCATAATCTCAAACCCTTCAATTCCTGTTGGAAATCAACTTCATAAAGAAACACTCTACAAACTTCTGGATTTTGCCAGGGACAAAAACATCCACATAATATCAAATGAAATATTTGTAGGATCAACATATGGAAGTGAAGAGTTTGTGAGCATGGCTGAAATGATCGATTTAGAAGATAGCGACCGAGACAGAGTACATATTACGTATGGCCTATCTGAAGACATGTCACTTCCTGGTTTTAGAGTTGCTGCAATCTACTCTTTGAATGAGAATATCCTGGCTGCTGCTGGAAAGCTGGCAAGATTCTCATCTGTTTCTGCCATAACTCAGAACCTCCTTTCTTCTATGCTTTCAGATGCACAGTTCATCCAGAAGTTCATTGGAATCAATAGAAAGAGGCTTGGAGAAATGAATAGTAAATTTGTTGCAGGGCTGAAGGAACTGGACATCAAATACATGAGGAGCAATGGAGGGTTCTACTGCTGGGCTGATATGGGCAACTTAATCCGTTCTTACAGCGAGAAAGGAGAAGTTGAGCTCTGGGATAAATTGTTGGATATAGGTAAAGTTCATGTTATCCCTGGCTCTTGTTGTAATTGTATTGAGCCAGGATGGTTCGGATTCTGTTTTACAACTTTGATTGATAAAGAAATACCTATTGTTATGGACCGAATTCGGACAATTTCCGAAGCTTGTAAATCTTATACTTGAAATGAAATTACTGTTCTGTAAATATGTATCAGTTCTTTAAGTTTTCAAGCAAAATTGGCACCTCTGATAGCCATAAGCATGTTTGAATCATAACCATTCTCTCCTTTTACTTGATTGATTAAGCAAATATATGCCAAAGAGCTAGAGTCGAACATTGTTGATCTTGATCCTATATCATTTTGTTCTGTAGCTTGTGTTCTTATGATCTGATTCCATTTCAAGATTCTCTAATTTTCATCAAATTACATCAACTTTTGACAAAGTGCACGCATGTATTGAATAAAGAGTCGAATACATTAAGAAAGGAAGAGATAAAACCATGTCACCCTCTGATGAATCCCATCATTTTCTCTGATCAAAATGTGGGAATTTTTTGTGAAACTCAGTCCTTAAAGCCAAGTTCTCTTGATGAAGGATATTAGCTTTCTCCCTCAGCTTCTCATTCTCTTCGATTATAGTTTGATTTTCCAAATACAGCTGCAGATTCTTCAGCTCAATATCCTTCCCCTGCTTCTCTCCAAATGATCTCCTGCTGCTAAAATAAAAGCAAGCATCATTTCCAAATGAAACAAAAGTCACCCAAAAACATGAAAATTTTGAAATGGGGTTTTGTAAAAAAGCAACCTGGAAAGCCTCTGAACTTGAAGTTTGGACCTTTTTAAACGTCTCCTGTTCTTGGAAGTATGGATTTGATGAAACAGAATGCGTTGTGTTGCAGTGATGCACATTATTCTTCTATGCAGCTTCTTAGCTTTTGGTTTCCTTTGTAGCAGAATAAAGTGTGGAAGTTGCAGGGGAATGTGTGGGACTAAAGCTCATACTTATATAGAGGGTGTAGACTCACGGGAAAGAGAGGTGAAAGCAAATTGTAGTGATAATAATGGTTGGTGGACTTGTGATTAAGCATTCTTTATGTCCTGTGGCTAAAGCCATGGACGTCGTTAACTACTAGTGCCTTTTGACACTACCTAATAATGGGCTTTCTCGCCTCATTCTGTCAAAAGATGCTTCAAAGCTTAACCCGGCCGCACTTTCTTATAATGGGATCATTACACTCATTCATCTACTTTTTACCTTAAACATTTATATTGGGCCCGTCTATTCGTTTCATTCATGCGTTTCTTAAACTTGAACACGAACATTTGTCGAGAGATGCTTAAAAGCTCGACTCTACCATACTATCTTATAACAACATTAATTAGTTCCTCGTGCGTCCCTTTACGTTAGTATCTGTCATGAAATGCTTTAAAACTCGACTACATCACACTATACCACACTTTGTTATAATGAAATTAATGGTTCATTTTATCTTAAATACTTGTCGAAAGATGCGACCTTGTAGCGCTTTCTCATCGGGGTTTATGTGTTTCATTATTTTGGGTTTGAATAGAAAATGTAAAGAGTCAAATTTAGCATTGAGGACATAGGGGGAGGCCATATAGTTGGGTTAGTATGTTATGAGCATTCATTGAGGACATAGTGAGTGAATGAAGGTATGATGCTAATTTGTATATTTGTGTATGACTGTATTTGCAATGACCTTTTTGCTTCCACATTATCAAAGTTCATAATGATGCCTCTCTCCCTATTTCTTCTTCCATAACAATCATACCCTTCTTTTTTCTTTTTATTTATTATTTTCTCACTCACTTTTTCCATTTCCCTTTCACCACTAATATATACAATAATATATATACATACAGATTTGTATTTCTAAAAGTAGAATACTGCCCCACTTTCCATGAACTCTCAACCATTTGTGCTTGATTATAATGATTTCTTCAACTTGGATCTCATTGCCTCTACAATAACTTCATCACTTTTGAATAAAAATTTGTTGTTTCGGTTTTTGGGCTATATACATATTCACAACATGGATGTCCCATCGTGGTTCGTAGTTGAATTATGCCGTTGGTAGACTTGTACAAGAAGAGCACTATATATATGTACGAAGAATGTAACGCGTTTGGTAGGGAGAAGCTTCAACACCCTTATAAATATAATGAAGTCTCATTCTACGTGAGAGTGAGAATGAGAATGAGGATGATTTCTTGATTTACTGCTGCCTACAAGCAAGTACCCAATAATTGTAAGTTGAAATAATGAGGTTGGCTTTGGTCCAATATAAAAGAGAGGAAGAAGAGAATAGACCCACTGCAAAGCCTCGGCCTGCACCTTGTTTCCTTACTTCCTTCACCACCACCACTGCCTTTTGTACCAAAAAATGATGAGTTGAAGAGGGTGGGGGGGAAGGGGAGCTCAGATTATTGGCTTAGTCAACAATCTAATGAAGGGCTGGTGAAGTTTTCTTTACTATTATTATTACTGTTCTTCACCTTCAAGTATGTATGTTCCTTTCCTATTAGATTCTCATAAAAATGATATATAGGCAATCACATGCACGCTAATGATGAGATGCTATGCATCACTAAGTGTGTAATTGGCGTTATTCCTTGGTTCATTCAGTATCAATCTTGTCAAACTCAAACCCATTTCATTTTCATGTTGGTAATATCATGACACACACACACAGACACACACACACACACACACCACCTTTCTCTATGCAAATATTTGGGCCTGCTTTTAGAGCGACAGGGGCTCTAGTTCAAGGCTCATCTCTTTTAGTGCTGTATGTCACGTGAGCATTATAGGTGCGGTGATAGCAGCCTCGACAAGCTTCGCTTCAAATGAGTATCACAAAGAGAGTAAGAATTGGATAAAGTGTTAAGGCAAAGCAAGATACATCAATATCTACTATGTTGCAATGCAATCATTTACATTCTTCTTATTGCTACTTATCTTCATCATTTATACCCACTACCCATTATAATTTTAGTTTTTTACACTTGAAAGCCCAAATTCCTTTTCTAATATGTTTGGATGGGCTTACTGCGAGTTGGGCCACCCGGGCCTTTCTGGCCCAACTACTGTTGGAATTGGCTTGGATTAGTTAACTATTCGGGGCGAACCGGGTTGGGACCTCGGAAACCGAAAGTAACCATCAAGGGAGGGAAGGTATTTGAAAATATCGACACGTGGCAATTTCAATAATTGGGACACGAATTGATTTTAATATAATATAGTATATAATGTATTCCCTTTCCCGGCTTATTTCTTTAATTAAAAATATTTAACAAAATTGAGAGAGAATCGAATCAATCATTGCTTATGTGGACCCTAACTACCACCAGAAATAGTAGCGAACCTTTTGGAATTATGAAAATAATAATATTGAAAATTGCAAATAATCATGATAAATTATTTAATTTCATTGTACATTCAGGAAAAGAATTTAAAACTCTTTATTTTTGTCATCATGTACTCATTATCTCAAATTCTTTACATGCGTCTTGCAATAAGATTTGATGTTCTTAAAACTGCTTTAATAATAGGAAAAAAGAAAAATAAGGTAAAAAGATTATTGTTGATATTTAATTCCGTTGCAAAAAGAAATCCCCTCTAGAATTACCAAAAGGCCCATTCGTATTCGCCAAGCAATCATCGCAAAAGATTCTCAGAGAAAGGTAACCATCACGGACTGGATCATCTGAGCCGTCCAATGAAAATGAGTAGTGTCGTGGTGAGGATAACGAAACGATTGAACGGCTGAAAAAATGAGTACAATGTACACCTGTCGTATTGAAGCATTGCGCCTACATGGAAACCAAGAGGGCGCCGTGGAAGTAATGATAAACAAGGGGGTAGATTGTCGCATTGGTAATTCATCCGTATCGCTCCGTTAGCCTCAAATCCTCAACATAATCGGTTGTTCTCTGCGTTTCTTCTTCCTCTTCTTTCTTTCTTTCATTCTTTCATTCTTCTTTCCTCTCCTGGGTTTCCTCAGACTTTGATTCTGTTCTATCCCCTCAATCGAAATTGTTTCTGAGAGGCGGGGTTTTACAGTTTTTGAGTTGCTTCGATCTATTGTTGGCTGATAAGGTGTGGATTTTCATTTGCTGTTTTGACTTTGGTTGAACCTGATTAATCTACATCGTTTTTGTTTGGTGTGGAAGAAAATTTTGGTTTCTTACTTTTTCTGTGCTTCTGAATCTATTTTCTTGTTCTTTTGTGTTCCTTGATCATTGTCATACATGGTTGTTTTCGTTTTGTTATATTTCAATGTTTCTGCGATTCTTCGCGAGTTACGATTCTTGGAAGACTTGGTCGAGTTGTGGATTTTCAAGGAATTTATCTAGATGTACTCTTGCTCATAATTTGTGGATTTTGTTGATTTTGTTGATTGAACCTTATTGGCTTCCTGGTAGTATTAGGGTTTTGAAGCAAGAAGATGAAAAAGGGAATCGATCACAGATAAGTTCTATTATAATCCTAACGTCGAATTTTCGTTGTGCTCTTTTCCTGAAATTACAGCGGATTTAAGCGAGCGCGTAGGAAAACCATGGGTTCAGAACAGAACGATGGCACAAGCTACCAGCCGTCGGAGCCAAAGCTCTGCGCGAACAACTGCGGCTTCTTTGGTTCGGCCGGAACGGAGAATCTCTGCTCAAAGTGCTACAGAGACTCTCGAATCAAAGCCGAGCAAGCGGCTTCGGCAAAAGCAGCGATGGAGAAATCCCTTCAGTCCAAATTTCTTAAGCCGTCTGAAGGTAATGCTCCGGTTGTCTTCTCGGATTCATCAGTGGATTTAGATTCGGCGTCGTCCTCCACAGGAATTTCTCTCTGTAATTCCGACAAATCGCCGTTGCCGGCTATTCCGAATCGGTGCCGGAGCTGCAATAAGAAAGTGGGATTGATGGGATTCAAGTGCAAGTGTGAGGGAACCTTCTGTGGGACTCACCGGTACCCAGAGAAGCACGATTGCTGTTACGACTTCAGAAGTGATGGGCAAGAGGAGATCGCCATGGCCAATCCCGTGGTGAAGGCCGACAAGGTCGAGAGGTTCTGAGAAGGATTTGGCTCTGAACTTGGTAAATTTTTAGTGGGTTTGTTGCTATTATTCGTCTTCTTGGTTCCTTTTTGTCCCTGTTTATTTGGGTTGGTTTCATGGGGGATTTGGGGGGTAGATCTTGCTTGGTTTGCTGCTGGGAAGTGAACAACTATGGTGAATAATGTAGTTTGATTCCTTTCGATTCTGGTATCCTTTTCGTTCACCCCAGTGTTTGTAAAGCCTGGGCAGTGGTTTTACGAATTTGAAGATGAACAAACATTCTTCATGAACCTTCTTTGATCAGACATGAAATCAATCCATTTGAATTCTGAATTCTGAAGCGAAAGTGGTGTTTTCTTTTATTTTGGGTCCAGTTGGAAAGGGGGGATATGTTCAATTACTTTTGCCATGGTGATGATCCTTGATCCACTTTCTCAAGGTTTAGTGTTCCAAGACTATTTTGTTTGAGATTGATAACAAAAATATACCGAGATTATCACTTTTTTTTTTAGGGGATAAGTTGTTCTATGCTCTTATTTCACAGATGTACAGGTTGTTTTCATGGTTCAATTTCACAAATGTCCCAAATTAACATTATCATTTGTTAATCGCAAGTTTCTAAGCATTTGTTATATTTTCACTTACCAAAATACGCTCGCATCTAATTAATCTAATCACATTTAATATAATATTTTGTCTTATTATTTAACATTTTTGTGACTTTCTATTATTGAAATTTCCATGTATGATGAATGTGCTTTTCCTGTTGTGAATCAATTATATCACGAATTGATATTTTCTTTCAAGTTGTGATTTTGACTTTCCTTAATTGGTAGGCTCATATTTTATTTTCATTTTTATTTATTATTTTGTTCAACTTTTACTTTCCTTGATAGTGCCCATTTTCATTTATAATTTATTATATTTTGTTCAATTTTCTTCTTATTTTCCTAATGATACATCAAATAAGAAAGGAAAATTTGAAAATTACAAGTCTCCATCGAGATATTATTTGAGATGTTCGTTTGACCTACCACACAGATACCTTTGACCCATCTAAAACGGAAAAATCTCCTTTAAACAAGAGAGGAAGTAAGGAAGTAAGTTTGGACAATATAATATATATAAATTTAAGTTATTAGTTCACAATTATAAGTATAGTTTAGTATATGAGCTTTTAAATTTATATCTATATGATCATCAAAATCATGAATTTTTTAAACACAGAATGTTGAACTTTTAAAGGAGTTATTAAACACTATTTTTAAAGTTTATAAAAAATAAATAGAAAAAAAAAATTCAAAATTTTAGAAAGTAAATAAAACCATTTAAAAAGCTGAAAACAGTTGGAATTTAACCTGTAATTCTGAAATAAATGATTTGAATTAGATGGAAGACTATTAGAACGCGTAGAGATGAGAGTAAAGGTAGTAATATTGAAAGAGTGCTCAAAAGTTTTAAAAGGGAGGGTCGATTATTGGAAGAATGAATAGCAGTGGTTGGAATTTCTCTTTCAAATTGGTGATTGAGGTACCACATTATTGTGGATGGATACCTATTTGCTGCAACATGGTCTACCTTAAACTCAACTCCATTCCCTTATTATGTTTCACCTCCATTGACAAAGCTCAATAGATGTCAATTAGCATCTCGAAGCTAGTGCCTCAATCATCTAATCCTACAATAGTTGAACTCAAATTTATGTTCTTGCACAGCATTCAATATCATATAATACTTTAAACACACCAAAGATAATTCATACAATTTAACCTCTGGAGTAACCAAAGTTTTCCTCTCCTATTTGACTCAAATTCCTTTAAGCATAAAGAAAAGTGTCGCCTTCCAACTTTTGGAAAATGGATGAAAGTGTTGAGGAGTATCCAACACTACTTCATCTCTCCAAAGCTTAAAGGGAAAAGAAAAGGAAGCACCTTTATTTCTTGGGGTGGGGGGGAGGCATATGAGTTAAGAGAATGTCCCAAATTCAGACCATGATATGAGAGGTTAGAAGCAATGAAGCAAGAGTTTGCATTGCATGTGCACTCAATCAACAACTCTACACAGCCTTATCCCACCTGTTATGGTAGCCAACACAGTTCATAAAAGTAGTGAGACCTCCACAAAAATACATTATTGAATGATATAGAAACCAATAATAAAGTCGGTGTGTCAAAATTCAAACTCCTCCTATCAACAATAAAGGCATGTCACCACAAAAAAAGCTAATCTTTGTGGATTGAGGATGAATATGAACATAAATTTAGAGGTCGATGGTTCATTTTAATCGGACCACCAGGCCTGAACTGCAACTTTCTCAAAGGGATAACAGCTTGGGTCAATAAGAAAAGTGACCAATAACAAAAGGCTGCCCATTTCATTTAGTGGATATTAGGCAGCTGCATGCTTAAGGTCTGCAAATGGTGGAGCACAGCCTGTCCTCTCTCTCTTGTTCTTTCACTTTCTCTATGGCTCCCTCTCTTCCTTCTTCTTATTCGGATATCAAAATCATGTTCATCAGGTCTGAAACGACTTTCAAATATGTCCTAAAGCAATTAGCAAATTTGAAAAGTGGCGAAGGTTCGTTTCTCTTTTGGTTCTTTTTCTTTATAAAGAGTGTTGTGGGTGTGGGGCTGCTCATCTTTTTGAAACCCATTGTACATTCAAAGAATCTAACATGAAAAAATCTTGAGAGACTTCGATAATGGCTTCTACCAAAAGGTGTTGCCTAATATACTTTAACAAATAGACGATATGCATTGGTGTCACCTATTTTGGTTTGATGAACTTGCAATACAAACACACACACACACACAAACAAGATTCTGTAGCTACATTTTTCACTCTCTTCAATTACTTCCTCTGTATTCTCAGCATCAATAATGGAATTTTACTCTGTCTTCAATTCCTGTTTCAGCATATGTAAGGATGATGACATTCCTATAAGATTTCAAGTTCTTAACTCCAAGAATTTTAATTAATGTTGAAAGGTCAAATACTTGGCCTTGATTAATTAGACATATTAACCACCTTATTTGGTGGCTGCTAAGGCTACCCTTTTTATCTTAAAACCAAATTATTTTCTTTCCTCATTCTGACTTTGATTCTTATTTCTGTTCATAGACATGTGTATTAAAAACAATGGTAGGTAAAGATTAGATAGAGCCTTTTCAACCATCAAAATTTTGCAGGAAAAAAAACTTGGGCACTTAATGATTTGAGCTTCCCACCTTTGTTGCCTCCAAATATTATTATCATTGTACCTTAATCCAACCAAAGTTTCAGACCCACCATGTGATTAACAGTGAGTTTCAACTCCTAAGATTTTTCTCCTCCATTTCTCAATTTCTTTCATGGCATTTACTTACATTAAAGTTCGACACCAACCATACATAAAGTTGGTATCAAGTACGTCACATAATATCATATATATATATATATATATATGATATTTATATGGTTTTGTTTCATTTTTTTCTATTAAGGTTAAGGCTATCATGATGGACTGAATTTTATTTTTTCTTGTTATAGTTCTTGTTGTTTGTCCTGTAGTCCCTATGGGTTAGAATTATTGGAGTGGGATGACAAACCAATAACATCAAATTTAAGCAATAAAAGTACTCCAAGAATGATTTTGAGGGGCCATACAATAGATTGTGAGGCCCCTCCTCTTGGGTTATAAAGGGATACATTCATTTTCTCTATCTTTTTCATTACAATGTAAGCTAAACCATGGATAGTTTATCATATCATTATGTTGAATGATGGATAAATTTAGGTAAGTTTGGGCGTTTTGGCAGCAGCTGATTTCAAATTTTGTGCAGAAAAGAAGAAAATGTCTTTTGCATTTACTTTTTCGTGCAAAGGCTCTCTCTCTCTCTCTCTCACACTCACTTTAATTCTAAATTCAAATTCATTGAACATTATATATATATTTCCAAATTGTATCCCCATTACTAAAGTTTTTAATTAAAATATATATATATCCAACTATGTTATAGCGCTATCATGACATTCATATATAGATTCGGAAATCAAATTTGCTTTTGCTTTAAGTTGAATTTTAGATTTTTGAATAATACCATTTTTTTTTTTTTTTTAAATGAAAGTCTAAATGTCTCTAGAAGGTTTAGAAAGAGTCTGAAAATAATCTTTTGACATAACCTAAGTCAATTAGGATGTTACATGAAATACGACAAATTTAAGAATAATGAAATAGAATCTTTAGACAAAATAGGACAAATTATTATAATAAAAAGTAGCATTGATTTTCATGAAAATTAAAATCCTTCATTTTTATTATGTCAATTTTGGCACTGCTTCGCACGAAATTCAATGCATTTTGAGAGTTTTGACTGTTTTTAAATTAATAATAGAACAATTTTAGTGTTGAAAAATTAATTAGAATTTAATTGCAACTATTTATAAAATTTTAAAATTGAAACTGTGATGATATAATATCCCTGGTTTTTGCAAATTTTTATTTTACTAAACAAAGAAAATAAAATTTTCTGTCAAAAGGTCAAAATGGTAAATTCCGAACGGCGCGATGATGTTAATGGTCACACGACGTGATTCGTTTTGTTAGTTAATACTCTCACGAAGTAATTTGGTCAGAGTAAGACTCGGGTAGGAGTGCAATACTCTCACTAGAAACGGCGTCGTTTTGGCCTACATGATCCATCTTCAATCTCTTCTTCCTCTTCTTGAACTCCCTATTCTCTCTTGTTGAATCCATAGGGCGAAGGTAGAGAGAAAGGTACCGGATTTGTGTGAATCACATCCCCCACACGATTAGGTCCACTCCCACTTCCACTTCTACCGCCTGTTACTGCAGCTCCACGCTTCGCTTTCAGCATTTTGGGTCTTCGTTTGGGTCCCATTTCTTCCTTTTCTCTCTCTTTCTCTCAAATTTTCTCTCCGCCTTCTCTTCTCTGCTCTTTTCTTTTCTCTGAAAGCAAAAATACGCCATTCTTCAATGTCCTGCTAAACCCATTTCCCCAAACCTTCTGTCCCTCTTTGCAATGGCTGCTTCTGGGGGTACTGGTTATAGAAATGGCGCCACTTCTAGAAACTCTCTTAAGCCCGATAAGCTCTTTTCCCCTAATTCCCATCCCAAGTCTTCTCTTAAGTCCAAGTCTCTTCCCAATTCTGCTCTTCGTCGTAGTAGCCCTGCATCTCTCGGTGCTGCCAAGGATGACGGTGGAGGTTTGTTGTTCGCATTTCTGCCACTTGTTTTGGGGATTTTTTTTTTTTTTTTTTTTTTTTTTTTTTTTTTTTTTTTTTTTTTTTTTTTTTTTTTTTTTTTTTTTTTTTTTTTTTTTTTTTTTTTTTTTTTTTTTTTTTTTTTTTTTTTTTTTTTTTTTTTTTTTTTCTGTGGAGATCCTGGTTTTTTGTTTGTGGTTTATGGAGGTTTTGTGATTTGGTTTTGTACATGATTCATGTGGGTTAGTGATTTGAAATTGGGATATTGTAAAGGGATGATTTATTTGATGTTTATGGTGATTATATAAC